AGGAACAATAACAGGGAAGATGGGCGGCAGGAGAATAGGATTAAGAGAAAGAGGAGGAGGAGTCATGTACAGTGTCCTTTCAGCTCCCCCCCACCCACACACACACACACACACAATAGTGTTTTCACATACCACCCTTGAGCATATTCACCCTCCAGCACAATACTGTGGCATTTTCCAATCAAGTTACATTGAGATTCAATCAGGAAGCCCCAGTGCTGAGGAAGCGCTGCCCAGGAGCCTCGAGACCTCTCGTTCTCAGAGTCACTGGTTACAGAGAGTGACAGACCAGTGCTAGAGCGAGACCAGTGCTACCCCTTTTCCACCAAGGCAGAGCTGGTGCTGGTTCGGAGCCAGAGCCTAGTTTCAATTCGGTTCTTTGTTTTTCCACACGCAAAGCACCAGCTCCGAACCAGGAAAAGTGGTTCTTAAGTAGCACCAAATCATTGCTGGTCTAGAACAGAGCCAAGTAAGAACCGCTTGCGTCAGGGGCTGGGGGCGGGGTTACCGTGACCAACAAGACGAATAGAAACTTGTGACCGCCATTTTTAAATAGTAGCTAGTCGAGCTAATAGCAGCTTGATTATAATATCCGTCTATGTAAGTTACGGCGAGCTGCACAAACGCGTTGGATTCCGATGTATTTTTGCAAACCCATGAGCATCCATAGTAACGCAACGTCCGTTATTGTTGATGGCTTGTTCGAGATGCATCGGAGCGGCGTGGACCGATCGGAGCTGCGGGAGTGTTTGGAGATCATACGACTCCTTGTGCTTTTGGATCGCTTTCGCAGTGCTTTGATGTCATGCGGCGATCGATCTGCGAGAAGCCGATGCATCTCGAACAAGTCTGGCGTGTTTGTGTTTGGCGCTACCGCACTAGCGTTGCTGGGCAACATGAGACGTATGCAGTGACGAAAGATCTGGCTCTGTTGTGGCTCTCTAGCCGGTGGAAAGGCAAACCGGTAAGCTTGTCGTTTTAGTAAGCTTGTCAGTCGAACCAACTCCAAACCAGCTCTGGCTCTGGCTCTGGCTCTGAACCAGCACCCGGTTCTTGTTGGTGGAAAAGGGGTAAGAGAGTGACAGACCTAGAGCGAGCCCAGTGCCAGAGCCAGACCAGTGCTAGAGCGAGCCCAGTGCTGGAGCCAGACCAGTGCTAGAGCCAGACCAGTGCTGGAGCCAGACCAGTGCTAGAGCCAGACCAGTGCTAGAGCCAGACCAGTGCTGGAGCGAGACCAGTGCTAGAGCCAGACCAGTGCTAGAGCCAGACCAGTGCTGGAGCCAGACCAGTGCTGGAGCGAGACCAGTGCTAGAGCCAGACCAGTGCTAGAGCCAGACCAGTGCTGGAGCGAGACCAGTGCTAGAGCCAGACCAGTGCTGGAGCGAGACCAGTGCTAGAGCCAGACCAGTGCTAGAGCGAGACCAGTGCTGGAGCGAGACCAGTGCTAGAGCCAGACCAGTGCTAGACCAGTGCTAGAGCCAGACCAGTGCTGGAGCCAGACCAGTGCTAGAGCCAGACCAGTGCTGGAGCGAGACCAGTGCTAGAGCCAGATCAGTGCTAGAGCCAGACCAGTGCTAGAGCCAGACCAGTGCTGGAGCGAGACCAGTGCTAGAGCCAGACCAGTGCTAGAGCCAGACCAGTGCTAGACCAGTGCTAGAGCCAGACCAGTGCTAGACCAGTGCTAGAGCGAGACCAGTGCTAGAGCCAGACCAGTGCTAGACCAGTGCTAGACCAGTGCTAGAGCCAGACCAGTGCTAGAGCCAGACCAGACCAGTGCTAGAGGCCAGACCAGTGCTAGAGCCAGACCAGTGCTAGAGCCAGACCAGACCAGTGCTAGAGCCAGACCAGTGCTAGAGCCAGACCAGTGCTAGAGCGAGACCAGTGCTAGAGCCAGACCAGTGCTAGAGCCAGACCAGTGCTAGAGCCAGACCAGAGCTAGAGCCAGACCAGTGCTAGAGCGAGACTAGTGCTAGAGCCAGACCAGAGCTAGAGCCAGACCAGTGCCAGAGCCAGACCAGTGCCAGACCAGTGCTAGAGCCAGACCAGTGCTAGAGCCAGACCAGGGCTAGAGCCAGACCAGAGCTAGAGCCAGACCAGTGCTGGAGCCAGACCAGTGCTAGAGCCAGAACAGTGCTAGAGCCAGACCAGTGCTAGAGCCAGACCAGTGCTAGAGCCAGACCAGTGCTAGAGCCAGACCAGTGCTAGAGCCAGACCAGTGCTAGAGCCAGACCAGTGCTGGAGCCAGACCAGTGCTGGAGCCAGACCAGTGCTGGAGCCAGACCAGTGCTAGAGCCAGACCAGTGCTAGAGCCAGACCAGTGCTAGAGCCAGACCAGTGCTAGAGCCAGACCAGGGCTAGAGCCAGACCAGTGCTGGAGCCAGACCAGTTCTAGAGCCAGACCAGTGCTAGAGCCAGACCAGTGCTGGAGCCAGAGCTAGAGCCAGACCAGAGCTAGAGCCAGACCAGTGCTGGAGCCAGACCAGTGCCGGAGCCAGAGCTAGAGCCAGACCAGAGCTAGAGCCAGACCAGTGCTAGAGCCAGACCAGTGCTAGAGCCAGACCAGTGCTAGAGCCAGACCAGTGCTGGAGCCAGAGCTAGAGCCAGACCAGTGCTAGAGCCAGACCAGAGCTAGAGCCAGACCAGAGCTAGAGCCAGACCAGTGCTAGAGCCAGACCAGTGCCATACCAGAGCTAGAGCCAGACCAGTGCTAGAGCCAGACCAGTGCTAGAGCCAGACCAGTGCTAGAGCCAGACCAGTGCTAGAGCCAGACCAGTGCTAGAGCCAGACCAATGCTAGAGCCAGACCAGTGCTGGAGCCAGAGCTAGAGCCAGACCAGAGCTAGAGCCAGACCAGTGCTGGAGCCAGACCAGTGCCAGACCAGAGCTAGAGCCAGACCAGTGCTGGAGCCAGAGCTAGAGCCAGACCAGAGCTAGAGCCAGACCAGTGCTAGAGCCAGACCAGTGCTAGAGCCAGACCAGTGCTAGAGCCAGACCAGAGCTAGAGCCAGACCAGAGCTAGAGCCAGACCAGAGCTAGAGCCAGACCAGTGCTAGAGCCAGACCAGTGCTAGAGCCAGAGCTAGAGCCAGACCAGAGCTAGAGCCAGACCAGTGCTGGAGCCAGACCAGTGCTAGAGCCAGACCAGTGCCAGACCAGTGCCAGACCAGAGCTAGAGCCAGACCAGTGCTGGAGCCAGACCAGTGCTAGAGCCATATATATATATATATATATATATTAGAAATGTGAATATATTTTTATTATTATTTTTAAATGATTATTAATGTTGATTACCCTCACAAGCCTGCTGTTGGAACAAACACTAACTGTTGCGAGTGATAATCGTCCTAAAATGGCCTGGCTAATATATTTATCATTAATAACCTCCCATCTCTACATATCAAAGTCTGCGTATATTTAGATTATATATTTACATCCCTTTTAACTAAGCTGTTCAAATTAGGCTGAAACATTAATGTCATATAAAAGCAAAACCATGAGATATGAAGCAGCAGAGATCTCCTATTTTCTATCATGTATCCCTTCACAAAACACGTCTTTATCTATTCAAATAAGCCTGAAAGCAGACTATATAACACATGCAAGGTGTTTACTTCCAATCGAGTTGTTTCTAAAAACATGAACTAGTAGAAATATGCAGAGAATCTGAAGCCAAGCTCAAAGCTTTCAAGGCATCGGCTCCTGAAATGAGCCGTTCGCACCTTTAGCGCATTCTCACACCAGCTTTTGAGGAAGGGAATTGGAGGGATCAAATATGACCTAAAACTAACACTCGGCAGACAGAAAGCTAATATCACATTAACTCATTAGCCAGAGCGTCTGCGCTTCACACTCTTGTGTTTTTGTGGAAGAGCAAGAGCAAGGTGATCGCCGCCATTTTAAGAGGACGAACGCTTGGAGATATTGATTTTAAAATAGTAGTTGTGTTAAGGAGTTGCATTCGGTGTCAAGGTCCAAGGCCGCCCAATGACCGCTTTAAAACGCAATACTGTGTTGACCTTTAATTCATTGTGTGTGTGTGTGTGCTATTGCACATCATTACAGAGCAAACTGAGATACAATTATGTGGGTAAGCTGATAAAATGTAGAGTTCTGAGGGGTGAAGTTTGGGCTACAGTGATAAAACCACGCGGGGGTTGTGTGTGTTTGTGTGTGTGTGTGTGTGTGTGTGTGTGTGTGTGTGTGTCGGGGGTTTGAGCCTCGCTGACCCCCGCTCTCATCGCATGAAGACAGCTGCCTTCTCAACACAGAAAACCTTTTCCAGATGGGCCACAGCCCGCATACCACACACACTATCACCATAAACCTACTGAACACACACAAGAAAACATGCTTTTACAGGCACAGATTTGGCAGATGCATCCAATGCAATGCAACTCGCTTTGGAGAATAAGCATGAATTTTGTTTGAATCAGCTCATGCATTTCCTGGGAATCGAACTCACGATCCAGCCTACAGAAAATAAAACCATCTTTCATTACGGAAACCTCGTGTAAAGTGAAAACAATCAGGTCGATCCTAGACTGCAAAACAACAGAATCGACAGTACGCACACACACACACACACACCGCAAAAATCAAACCGTATTTACTAGAGGTCAACTGAATAAACCACATTTACAGTACTACAAACAAAACCCTTCCTCTCAAGATAAAAACTGTATGAAAATACTATGTGAACTGTTTGAGGATTGAGTGAGCCATTTTTTAAGAGCTCTATTTCTGTGAATAACTAGATTTATGTCAAACAGAGAAACAAACCAGTGTGTTTATGACTACGACGATAAATGAAAATGATTGCAATATCGAGCACCCTGATAACTGGAAGATATTCAAAAATGAAGATACACACAAATCTTGCATCTACTCATTCCTGTGGCTCAAACAACATCTGATTTCACGAGGTCAAATATCCCACAGGACTGTGAAAGAAGAGGCTTGTGGATCCCGTACGCTCTCACACTCGGCGTTGTGTTCTCCTTACCTTCCCACGAATCCATCTCATGTCTCTCCTGTTCTCCCTGTCATCCATTCACACACGTATCCTCCTCAGGAACAGCGTACAGGCCTCATGACTCTCTTCTTCCCCTCTCTCTTCTCTTCTCTCACTGATCCGCCTCTCAGCCCTGCTGGTCAGTTTCGGCCCGGTCACATGACCACGAGTTCAGGCCCCCGGGGTCACGGTGTGGCAATGCAGGGGGGGGGGGGGGTTATCTGAGTGGAACTGATAGCCCTATTTTACCCTCCCGCTGAACAATGCAAGCCTCCTCCCTCCCTCCCTCTCACTCGCTCTACCTTTCTCTCCACGGCTTCCCTCAGTCAGCAGAAGTGCAGGAACGGTCAAAGGCTGCAAACCCGAACGCAAGGACGATTAGATTGAGCTGTTCTGTCGTCCAAGCGTCCAGTTTTGGAAGCCCTGCTGGTTAAAAATACACACAGTTCTTTATATTCAGTAATCTACAGACACACATCCAAGCCAGATTCAGCTATAGTGCACAAAGCTCCGTGTTTGCACATTTAAACACTTAAAAACAAGCACTGTTTAAAAAAACATGCATTTACCTGCGATTAAATAAGCAGAAAATCCCAATTAAGTCATTACTGGTTTGTTAAAAATACTATGGAAATTATGTTCTGTTTTGTTTCATTTTTTATATATACATGTAAACACATGCCAAAGAAAACGCATGCCATTTTTGGACATTTATTTTCTGATTTATTTATTAATTTTCATGATTTTTTAAAATATCTTGCACAACTATTTATACCTTGGATGAATATACATATAAATAATACTAAATGTATATCCTAATAAAACAGCACACACACACACACACACATAAATATATATATACTTTTCTATTGCATATTCTTTATACGTTTTTTAGATATTTTTCACTCTCATCTTTACTTCCTTATTTTTATTTCTCTATTTAAATATTATGAAACGCCCAGTGGAAGACAAAATAACTTTGTTGTACTTCAATGGCAATAAAGAGCTTGATATGATCATCATCAAACATTATAGTTTTTCTGAAAGAGTCTGCATGGATCTTCTTAAAACGCTCACAGCCACAACCCGTAGAAGTAACTCGAGCTGAGGTCTGTTTTTATTTTACTATCTTCATTGATATTGTTGAAGGACACTTTCAGGATTATCTGCGCAGCCAAAACCAGAAGAAGATCAGCCCAAACCAGTTCAAGCCCGTATGACAACATTAGCCCTGTGCTAACGCTAGTGCCGCCCCTCCCCGAGCCACACATAAGAGGCTTTTCACATTGAAATGCAACAGGAGAGCCAGGAGGGGGTTTGGGAGGAGAACAGGGGTTGTGCTGGACTTTGTCATGTAGAAGTGAGGAGGAGCGGGTGTAGTCGAGGATGAAGTCGGAGGAGGTTCAAGTTTCTGCTGCAGCTGTTGCTGAGTTTGACCCTAAGGCTCCTGCTGAAACACATAAGCTAAACGCATTTAATTATCTTCTGAGAGCTGCGGACACTGGGGAATCACAATGACACGGGCCTGCCTTTTGTTTCTGAATGCCTGCTCATCTCCAAACAGGTCTCAATAATATAAGCTACACCCAAACATTAAATATTGACTCGGGGCCTGGCCTCAAACAAGCAAACGCCTGGTTTAGAAAAGATATTCTTATTGCTTATACACCTTTAACCAGACTGAGTAAGTGAATAAATACATGGTAGAGAGATGAACACTACAAAGAGAACATAGTTACTGCAGTTACTATAATATCAAACTGTAGCCAAACAAAATAAAACAGACACAACCAAACACAAAACACAAGACAAAATTCAAATCACAAAACAAAAAAACGGACTAAACAAAACAGACAAAAAAAACAGACAAAAAAAACTCGAAACAAAAACAAAACACACAAAATCGCAAAACAAAAAACACAAAATTACAAAACAAAAAAATAACCAAAAAACAAAACACTACACAAAAACAAAATAACAAACAAAACATTAAACTAAACTAAACACAAAACACACTAAAACAAAACAACCAATCAAAACCCACAAAACAAATGACCAATAAACAGGTTAAAACACAAAACGCAACACTAAATACAAAACACTAAACAAAACTAAACAAAATATACTAAAACAAAATTTAAAAATCACAAAACAAAAGCAACAAAACAAAAACAAACAAAAAACCAAACCACAAAACAAAAAAGTAAACAAAACAATACACAAAATCAAAATAACACAAACAAAACACAAAACACAAGACAAAATTCAAATCATAAAACAAAAAAACGGACTAAACAAAACAGACAAAAAAAAAACTCGAAACAAAATGAAAACACACACAAAAAAAACTAAATCGCAAAACAAAAAACACAAAATTACAAAACAAAAAAATAAACAAAAAACAAAACACTACACAAAAACAAAATAACAAACAAAACATTAAACTAAACACAAAACACACTAAAACAAAACCAAAATAACCAATCAAAACAAATGCCCAATAAACAGGTTAAAACACAAAACGCAACACTAAATACAAAACACTAAACAAAACTAAACAAAATATACTAAAACAAAATTTAAATCACAAAACAAAAGCAACAAAACAAAAACAAACAAAAAACACAAAACAAAATCAAACCACAAAACAAAAACAAAAAAGTAAACTAAACAAAACAATACACAAAATCACAATAACACAAACAAAACACAAAACAACACAAAACACTAAACTAAACAATTAAAAAAACCTAACAAACAAAACTAAACAATAAACAAAATAAAACTATAGAAACATAAAACACACACAAAACAATCATTCTGACACTGTTTGAAGAAGATCCTGTGATTTATTATGATTAATAACTGTAGTGACTACTGTATTTTTGCAGAACCTGTGATTACCATTGTAAAATTCGTGTAAAGAAAGGAACAATTTGGCAAAGAGAAGCATTCTGCTGTTGGCCTTGATAAGACAAACATGTCTGGTGTGAAGGAAAGAATAAAAGAAGGGATATTACAGCAGAACAAATGCTCTCGCTCCACACACAGTGTCGTTTCCCAGATTACCATGCGCTAAAGCTTCTCCACCATATGCTCACACACACAACCTGACCGAAAACACAAAACCTCGCTTCATCCACTGCAGCAAGTGCCACAATACAGTTCTGCTGACGCAACTCTATAAACTTCCCACAAAAGCAATGGTGGGAGAAGAGCCAGAGCAAGAGCTTTCCGGCTGTAATGAAGAGTAACAGCATTAGGGGAACCACACTGAGTTTCAGGATCTGGCACAGCTTTACCCAGCATGAGGCCAGATTGAATTAATGCAACTAAACCAAACCTCACAAATACACTCGCATCTGAATCACGCCGCACTTACACACATTTCCAACATAAACCAGATTACCTGCAGGAGCTTATTAATACTACAATGACCCCAACTGACAAAAAAAACTGTTTCCGTCCCATTAAACGTTATTTCATAATTCGCTCTGAATGTTTTAAATGTTTTACAAACTTGGTCATTTGAATGTGAAGGGAACATTCCGTTGTATCAATCTTCAAACATTATGGGAACGCTACATTTGAATGTTCTCTGAACATTCCGAAAGAAGTAACGTTTAAAAAGCGTTAGACGAACATTCTAAAGCGTTTCAGGTGAAAACATTCCACGAATGACGCAAGTAATGTTTAACGTTTTGAGAACACTATTAAAAAAACAGATAACTGTAACAAATGCTGGGAGAATGTTCGGTTACACTTTATTTTAAGGTGTCTGTGTTACAGTGTAATTATATATTTAGGTACTGAGTAATATTATTAACTACAGGGACTTACTATAAGGTTATTTATTTGTTATTATGTAAAATTTATATCACAAAGATTTAAAACCACGAAACGTAACACAAAGTACAAAACACTAAACAAAAAACAAGACATACAGAACAAAAAAAAAAACAATACAGAAAAAAAAAAAAAAACCATAAAACTCAACAAAAGAATACAAAATACAAAACAAAACTCAAATCAAAAATTTGAAAGCAAAAAACAAACAAAAAATAAACTTAAAACAATACACACAAAAAAATAAACAAAACGCAACAAATTTACGGAAGCGTATTGCATTCACTTGAGGAAAAAAAATCTACTCTGTTTTTCTGAATTAACGAGTTAATTATCTCAGAATTGCGAGATCATTTTTCATGGAAAAAAGTTTTTGCTGTTTTTCTGAATTAATGACTTAATTCTTTAATGAGTAACTCGTTAATTCATAAAAACAGAGGTGAAAAAAAAAATTCAAGAAAAAATTCTCTCATAATTCTGAGATATTAACTCGTTAATTCAGAAAAAGAGCAAAAACGTCTCGGTTACGTATGTAACCCTAGTTCCCTGATAGGGAACGAGACGCTGCGTCAAACGCTGCGGGAACGCCCCTGCGTTGTGCGTCATGAAGCACGTATGGAATCAGCCCAATGGAGAGATGAAACGTCATAGGCGGGTGACGTCATCGACCAGGAAACTATAAAGCACCCCAAAAACACAAGCGCATTAGCTTCTGATAGGCTTGAAGGAAGCGCTAACGGGAGTGCCGGGAGTATGGCGGAGCGACGCAGCGTCTCGTTCCCTATCAGGGAACTAGGGTTACATACGTAACCGAGACGTTCCCTTTCAAGGGAACTTCGAGCTGCGTCAAACGCTGCGGGAACGCGAATACCCACGTCGCCATAGGACCAAATGACCGTCATGTGAGACTAGCGCACAGAGGACGAGAGCACCTGTGCCCCAGGGGTAGAGCTTAAGTCTAGGTCATAGAACTTAATAAAAGTATGCGGTGAAGACCATCCAGCCGCATCACAAACATCACTCAGGGAAACCCCCGACAAAAGAGCTTTAGAAGCAGCCATACTCCTGGTAGAGTGAGCTCGGACAACCAAAGGTGAAGGCTGGCCAGCCGACTCATAAGCAAGTGAGATAGCCTCAACCACCCACTTGCTCATTCTCTGTTTAGACGCAGGACACCCTTTCCTGGGTGGCCCGAAACATACAAAAGGTTGTTCTGATTTCCTCCACAGGGCAGCTCTGTGGACATAAGCGTCTAATGCCCTAACAGGGCAGAGTGAATTAAGTTTCTCCTGGTCCGATGACATAAATGGAGGAGGACAGAAAGCCTGCAGAACCGTAGGTCTAACAATATTAGTAGGAACCTTAGGAACGTAACCTGGTCTAGGATGCAGAAAAGCTTTAACCATGCCA